GAGAAAAGTGCCGAGGCGAGCACACGAGCAGGAGACTTCTTCAACTTCAACGAGGGTTTTAAAGCGCTGGCTGATTGTCGTGGTGAGCCTGCGGAACCTGAGAGCGGCTGCTGCCGAGCCGGACGCCTCGTGTGTGTGTGTGTTTACCGCCGTTCTGACTGGTGCATGTCCGAGCCCTGCTGCTGCTGTTGCTGCTGCTGCAGCCCATCTCCAGCATCTCCCGCGCGGTGACACGGCCCGGGTACCGGGTGCGGGCCGGGCGGGCGTGCGAGGAGCCCATTAGGAGGTGTGCGGAGGTGTCCGGAGGTGTCGGCGGGAGCTGCTGCGGAGCACCGGGGAGCATGGCGCGGCGTGGCGTGGCGTGGAGGCGGGTCTGTGAGACTGCCGCTGGCGGCCCATCTGATGCGGCCGCACGCCGGCGTCCTCCTGCACCTTGAATGCTTCTGCGTGTTCGTGTGTGTGCGTGCCCGTGCGTGTGTGCGCGCTGAGCGGCCGAGTCTGCCGCGGGGCCAAGGCGCCCCAGTTCTATACTCGCATCGTTGATGAGGACGCAGAGATTGGGCGAGGAGGGGAAATAAAAAGCACTCTTCTAGGACCGAATTGGTTGCGTCCCGTTTTTATCATCGCGCTCATTTACACCGGGCGCGACTTGCCAGGGTACAGCCGCCGCCGCCGCGCCGCCGTTGGTCACCGTACCCGGCCGGCTGGCTGCGGGGGGCCTGCGGGGCCGCGCCATACCATAGGGGCCTAACCAGCAGCGCGCCGGCGTGTTCTCCAGTAAATCATCTCGTATCTCGCAGCGGCGGGGCGGAGATGCAGGTGGAACCCGAGCACTGCGGAGATGTGCCCCCCCCCCCCATCCTGCCCGCCGTGCGTGCTTGCCTCTATGTGTGTGTGTGTGTGAGAGAGAGAGAGAGAGAAAGAGAGAGAGAGAGAGAGAGAGAGAGAACGAGCGCGCAAGCAAGCGTGTGGATCATCGCAGCAGATTAGGGCGTGAACAACAAGACCCGGGGGCAGCAGAAGAGGTGTGGACGAAAGCGATATACACGGCGAGAAATTACGCGCACTTGGTGCGTCACAAAGCACTGGTGGTGAGGTAGAAGGACGTAAGTCCAAAAGAAGCAACTTTTTTGTTTGAAGGTATATAATCGTTGAAATAAAAACTATATATTATGAAACTCGACCGCAAAAAAAATCGACTACTTTTTTTTTGACTTACGCCCGTCTGCCAGATCACCACTGAAAGGGCGGCCCTGTTTGCCCCGTCGGAAAACGGAGGCGGAAAATAGAGTTTTCGTATTTAATATTATGGGACTGATGTAATTGGATTACCGCCGTGCCATTGGTTTTGTAAAGCGAACGAGTGAACCATCTCGATGAGGATGAAGGAGATAATCAATAATCAGAGGGATGGAATGAGAGGACACTGTGCCAAAATTAGTGGGCAGGGGTTCTGTAAAAGAGACTCGTCGTCGTCAACGATGTCGGTCTGATGTACAACGCGCAGAAACCCTTTTTCATGGGTTGTTCGTGTCCTACTGGAAGCCTTACGGGGTCCTCCCTCCTAGGAGTCTCCAGGTTCCCCACACAGGACTACGCGAGGACTTGTAGCGCTTAGTCGTAATCGGCGTGTCTTGGGGGTGTATGGGCCGGGCTGGCGGAGCGCCAGGCGACAGCTTGGTGGCGCCTCCGCCCCGGCGCCCGCGCCGCGCTCTCGCTCGCCCCGCGGGGCCTGGAACGGGAGGCCCAGGCGCGCGGAGCTGCAGCTGCAGCGCCCAGCTGCGCCCAGCTGCGCCCGGGGTCAGGGTTGGGCCCGTCGCTCTGCACCTCCTGATTGGTCGTGCGTTGGTGATTCCGCCTCTGGCGGACGGCCAGTGGTGCCGCCTGGCCCGGGACAGTTCAAAGAAAGGTGTGTGTGTGTGTGTGTGTGTGTGTGTGTGTGTGTTGGCGTGTGTGTGTGTGTGTGGGTGCGCGTGCTCAATCAATACGAGTGCTACGTCCGCAGCGTGTCGCTCCTTACAGACGCCCCCACCCCCAGACTGTGTGTACTGCAGCCCCCTCCCCCCTCTCCTTTCTCCTTCCTCTTTTCCTTGCGCGTTCGTTCGCTTCTCGGAGTTCCCGAATTGAAACTCGTGCGCGGCGGTACAGAGAGGCTCGCGCGCCTCGTCAAGATATAGAGTCCATTAGGGGCCTTTGGTCTGATGACAAACGACGTTTTAATGGCAGCCGCCGTTGTCGAGTTCAGCCGCCGGATGAATTTCTCATACCCCAAGTCGCGGCGCGGCGTGCGCGCGCTCTCTCACCGCACGGCTCCGCGGGGGGCCAGAATGGTGCGATCGCATGCCGAGGACGCGTCGTCGGGGACGGGAGCTATCGGGGCCGATACATCTCCGGGGCTTGGGCCTGGTGCGCCTCCCGGGCCCCGCACCCAGCTCTGGCCTGCCTCCTGTCATGGGCCCGTGACGTTTGCGTATCCGCCAGCCAGCGCCGCGCGTCGCTGCGTCTATATGGGCGCGCAAGCGCTGCTGCAAGGCCAGCGGCCTCTGCTAGTGCCCCTGCGCGACCGTTGTTGAAAAAAGCACACGACATAATATGAAAAATAGAACGGTATGTGTGCTCGTAATAAAAAGGATTAAAGAATGTCGCAGTGGCGCACAACATTGTGCCGGCGCGCTTGGCGGCTCATGGCGAGGCTCATGGCGGCTCTTGCCCTGGTATCGCGACACGTCTTGCGCCGCCCGGACAGTAACTGTAGGGCGCACAGCGGCCTGCTCCGCTGGCCACAGGAATCCCGCTGCCCCCGCCTCCCTCTGACACTGGAGGACAAAACCCTACCCGGGCGCAAGAGTTTATTCAGCATAGCATAGCAAAGTAAAGATGTTGGGCATGGAAGGGGCTTTTCGATTGCACTGGTAGCTCGGGCTTTTTTATTTGGTTCCCTCAGGAACGGTGCGATTAGTCCTGGTTGTTATTCGGCCGAAGGCAAATTTACGCGTGCTTCGTTTCTTTGTCGCTGCCGGGCCTGGCGGGCCTGGCGGGCATGCGGCAGGCCTTGGTCGGGAGGTGCGCGGGCCCGGCATGCGTGCGGAGGCTCGGCAAGCCAGAGGGCGAGCAGCGCGGAGCGCTAGGCCCCACCAGCGGGACAATGGACCAGGGGCGGGTCCAGGAAAAGGAGGGGGAGGGGGTCTCGGACCGGACCGGCCATCACCAGCTGCCCAAAACGTTGACGCACTTCCGTCTATCTATTCTTAGCTGCACCACCCTTCCTTCAGCCGTTGCCGGGAAGAGCCGCCCCCGTCTCCCCCAGACTTACTTACGTTAGCCGCGTCGTCGTCGTCGGGATCCGCACCCTGAAATGTGTTTGGTTTGAGGTTTCGTTCCGTCCGTGTGCGGCCCGCCCTTCGCGCTGTCGTCATGGCAACACCAACGACCAGCGAGTCCTGCGCTCGACTCGTCGCACTGGCGCGATACCGCAACACAAGCACACGGGCACACTTGCAAACACGCCCGGCGAGTCCACGTAAACACACACGTTCCCCACCTCTCTCTCCCTCTCCCTGACTCTCTGACACATACTAACACACGCGCATTTGGTGTTGCTGATTCGAAAACGCGAAACATCACGGACGCCATCCAGTATGAGGAGGAGAGGAGATGAAAAGTGCCCATGTATGTCGTTTGACTCGCCAGCTCCGCGTCTGTCTGCAGGTCACAGCACACAGCAGACGCACGCACTCAAACATACTTGGAAGCGAAACGTGACCGTGTCTAACGCGTTTGTTTAGATCTGAGACTGAGCTCTCCTTTTAGCTCTAGTGTGCCAGTACGTGAGAGAACGTGCTGTTTGTGCTGGACCTGGCTGGATCCTTCATCCCTTAACTTCAAGCAGATGTGAATACTATTTCGGAATATTTGACTTTAGAGTTGTTAATAACATTTTAGTAAAGCTGAAAAGAATAATGCTTCAGAGACAGTGGTTGCTAGGTCAGGGGCCTATATAAGTTAAACTGAACCATACTACATTAATATTTCGGCGAGTATTTCGGTAGGAATCAAAGATTTCGAGTGCATTTAAATTTATCACGTGAGATGTGGTGTCTTATGTTGCCCGATCCAGGTTGTTCAAGTCTCATCAACCATAGGCTTCCGCTTTAATATTCTCCGCATTCCTTCTTCATTTCATCTGGACCACCGGAATGCTGTATCACTGTGACCTCCAGACCCCCTCCTCGCACGCTTACAAAAGATGGCATGTTTGTTCACTTTTCTTTTTGGTCTCTGTCCAATCTGACTCTCCTTGTACCACGTCGCGCACCGACTCGCGAATAAACGGCTTTTCTGCTCGCGATCGCCTGCCATGCCATGTGTGTGCCGCCGCGCTCTCGCTTGCCGCTGCTGGAGACGCTGGGGAGCAGCAGCATGCTCGTTTGGTCGGGGCTTGGCCACTGTCACTGCCGAGCGTGCGAAGTTGTCTCCGCCACGCCGCGCCACGACCACAAACTGACAAGACGAGGTGCGAGTGTCGTCGGTCCCGACAAGACTCTGCTCCCCGCTCCCTCTGGTGCCCCGGCGCGACGTGTTCCCCGCAGCACGATGTGCGCGCCCGTGCAGAGCGCGGCGCGGGGCGGCGCGGGGCGGCGCGGGGCGGAGCAGCCCGGCAGGGCACCACGATACACATCACGCATTCCTCCGGCCGTGTCGTACCCAGCAGGGCACTTGCACACACAGCTACCTCACACACAGGTGGCTGCCGCGGCATGTTACCCTGCTGCTCCCCTCTCTCTCTGTCTCTCTGCGCCTCACTATAGCGGCCCTCTCGCTCGCTCGCGTTGATGTCGAGCCAGCTGACGGTGCCGATCATCTGGGCGGAATGACACAGCCCAGCACTCAGGTGCTCCTCGGCCCGGACTGTCGTGTCCCCCCCTAGCCTAGAGGGGCCTGGCCTGGCCTCCAGCAACTGGTGGCTGACGGCGTGCTGACGGAGTGCTTTTGTGTTGCAGGACGGCCGCCATGGCGCGGCCAGGCTGTGCGCTGCTGCTGTGCGCGACGCTGCTGCTCATCGGGGACGCGGGCGCGGCGGGCGCCAAGCGCAGCAAGGACAAGGACCCCCTCGCCAAGGACCCCAAGGACGCTTCGTCGTCGCAGCGGAGGAAGTCGTTGAGCGGCACGTCGGCCGCCCCCACCGCGGCCGCCGCCCCCGGCCGCGGCGCGGTCATGAACCTGTGCGACTCCTTCCACATCAGGACCCTCAACGTGTACTGCTCGTGCTCGAGCCAGCAGCTGCTCAACGCCACCGAGGCCTCCTGCTGGGTCTTTGGCAAGAGCGAGAACGAGTCGGCGCCCATCTGGGACTCCTTCTCGTCGCAGGTGAGTCAGCGAGGAGGAGCGCAGCGCGGGGCCCGGGGGGGCTCCGCGATCAGCTCGTTAGACCATGAGGAGGTGGAGGTTCCCCCGCGCCGCTGGGATGCCGAAGACGGTCCGAGCTAGCAAAGCGTAACCCGATAAAGTCGCGTGTTAATTGCTCTAATTGATTCCCTGGAATGGCTCCAACCAAGAAGGGGTCGGAGCGGGGCCTGAGGCTCGCACTGGTCTGAGGCCACGGCCTTAAAGAGGCCCCTCCCTCCCTCCCACCC